GCAGACGGCACTTGGGGTGCTTGTTGTCCTAAAGAGCTTGCTTTGCTCCTCGTAACTGGTCCGAAGCTTCCAAAGGTGACATCGAGGATGCTTTCCACATCAGCATAGAATCTGGAGTTAGCAGCCTTGGTGGAAGTTGAAACGGAGTTGATTTTCTTTGAAGCCATTTCAATGTTCTTGGACTTTGGTGATTGAAAAGTTGAGATGAGAGGTAGAGATTGTCCTACTGGGCGTGCCAGAATTTGTAGACAATAAATTTGCGTCGAGAAAATAAAATCAAGACCGAAAATATCGCAACAATCGTAGTATTTTATTTCGAATATTTAAGTGTACAATCTCTATGATTCCTCTGATTCTACTTTCCAATAGTGAATAAATTCAAGGGCCTTTGAGCTTGATCTTGAATCTATGTTTGTTGCCACGAACGATGATCTTGTTCTTGAGCTTGAGCTTGAGCTTGATTGCTTGAACTTGACCTTGATTCGTTCTTCGTTCTTGAGCTTGAATTTGATTTCTTGAACTTGAACTTGAAGCTTGAAACTTGTAGAGGAATTTGCAGCGTTTGATCCACGAGCTCTTTCTTGCTTCTTGTTATAACTTCTGGTCTCTTTTCTGAGTTATGAAGACCCCTATTTATAGTTGTGGAAGGGAAAAGTTGTGATAAGAACAAACTCTTTCCGACCAATCAAATTGAAGTGTGACATGGCTGCATTTGATTGGCCAAAACATGTCACTTGCACACGTGGCGCGATTTCATTGGCCTTTTAGTGTGACTGGGCATGCCTTGTCATTTTGACACGTGGCACGATCCTATTGGCTCTTCCGCTTGACTTGGCGCGCCACGTCATTTGACACGTGGCACCAAACTGGGCCTCTAGGAAGATGACATCTTGGGCTTAATGAAGTGGGCTCATCACTTTAGCCCAATTAAATAGGCTAGCCCAATAAATTAAAACTTATTTATTTAATCTATTTATATTGGGCTTATATAATTAATTCAATTATATTAGCCCATAATATTTATTTGGACCAATATATCCTGAATTTAAAATATAGACCAAATTAGTTTTATGGATTTAAATCCAATAAATTTTGTATGCCTACAATATTCTTTTAAATTTGTGTCAAAATAATTTTTAGTATGTTTATGTTTTTCAAATATAATAAATAAAATCACAAGGACAGACATCCTAAATATTATATTATACTTACCGCAATATATTTTCTTGCACAAACAACTGTATGTTGCACTTTCAAGAGGGATATGAAAATCGACAACAAGAGTTCTGGTTAAGGTAGAGTAACCAATTAGGAGGAAACATACACACAGAAAAATATCGCCCACAAAGAAGTGTTCAATAAGATACCATCACATTAAATACTTTTAAATTATACTTCCTCTGATCCACTTTAAGGTCAATATGGTCAATTATATTGTTAATTAATGATAAAAGGTGAATTCCTTAATATGTGTGAAAGCAAACAAAAAATCACTTAAAGTGGTCCAGAGGAAGTACTAATACATTATTATCTAACATGACAAAATTGATCATTTGTGTGATGGTGTCCTTTTATTTTAAATTTATATATTATGCTAATATAATAATATTTTTAGGTATTTAGATAATTACTATATTATTATATATAAAATTTCTCTCATTAATTTTCCTTCATATAATTAAATGTTTAAACTATCACGTGTCACTATTAACGTGCAACGCACGTTCATAAATACTAGTATGATAAAAAGGGATTTGTCTAGAAAAGGAAACCTTAATGCGTAAACCTCTAAATTAAAGGTGTTCATAAAAACCCGAAAAACCGAACTAAATCGAAAACCAAACTCCTACTTTGTATAGAAAGATATAAATAGGCTTTAGGGGATCTGACACATCGTTAATGTAATGCACGTCGAGATCGGAAATTTTTTCATATTATCACCAAATGTGTATTTCGTATGTCCATTCTAGTAACATATTGTAAAAGGTAAAGTGTTTAAAGATTGCTTTGCACTGGATTTGACATTTATTATACTTCCATAAGTTATTTTCAATTCTCTTTAAAATACAAAGATTCTTCTGATGATGGTCTAACAGATAATGTCACCGAGCAAGTATCATCTCGAAAAGATGAATATGTTGTCATTTAAATTGGTCCTTATATTCGCTTTCTTGCTCCTTTCAAAAGGTCAGTTCAAAAATACTGATAATATGGGAATGTTTCCATATCATTTATTTTCATATATTTCTTTCCTCTTCTATGCAAAAAGTTTAGAATTTTGTTTCCCCTATATGAAATAGTAAATCGCTACACTATAAACATGCTCTTTTACATCTTACGAATTTCTCAAAAAAGATGCAAATTTAAACCTGTATAGTCAAATTTCAAATATTTAATAGATGATGAAAAATTTACTATATTGACACAACACTCATTTTCTTTTGAAATTTTATTTGAGAACTATAACAAAAAATGATATGAAGCTTCTTCAATATGTCCCCCTCTAATGAATAGTGGCGTTGTCACCTTTGTTCAAGGGGTGTGATTGACACCTTTTGTCATAAAATTACATCGTGTAAATATGTAAAAAAAGATTATGTGTTGAATCTTCTTGACCGCTTCGTGTACTTATTTCTTTATATTCTGAAATTTTAACGCTGCCATTGCTAATGAATATATAAAAATATATATGATGTAACAGGTTATGCACCATCAGTAGCACCGTGCCAGGCAACAGTAAATTGCAATATTAACTGCGGCAAAGATGGTTCTCCAATTTGCGTCCACAATACCTGCTTGTGCCAACGTTGCACCTTATTCTTCCCTCCTCTTCCAGCTGAATCTTTTGTAAGCCAAAAATGCACAAATTCCAGTTGTAAAAACTAAGATTGTACCCTCATACAAACAGTATCGAAAAAGAGATTAATCTTAGTATCAATGTCCTCTTTGTTGGGATATATACTTTTAACCATGGATTTGGTTTAGATATAATATTTATTATGATATAATTGTTCATTCAATTTTAATAAAGTTTTAAATAGATCATATATTAGTCTGTGTCCTTTGCTTATATAGTAGATGATTTAGTGTATAGAGTTTAGCTTATACACGGAAGATTAAATCATCGGTTCTTATAAGTATAAAGTATGAGTTCACAATCTAATGATGGAATTGGACAAACCATCAGGAATGATTGTAGCACAAGATTAAATATAATTTATCTTGATTATGGGAATGATTTAATTCCAACTTCTTGTGCTAGTACATTTTGTATGTATTGAACGGACCAAGTAGAGATAAGTATTTTATACTGACTTAATAAAATAAACTCTCTAGCCATTAAATGTACTTATGCTCTTGATCTTGATATAATTATTATTAGCTGTGTATATTATTATTGTTTTGATTTATTAAAAGGCGAGATTCTTTCGTGGGTCAATATGCCTGGTAAATTGGATAATAATAATAATGTACATTGGCGAACTAATAGTTAGTTGATGGAATCCACGTCTCGGTTTAGAGATTGATGATACACCTTTATGAAGCTTATAAGTTTTCGTGTGTAAACCCGGTCGGTGAATTTTGTATCCGACACATGAAATAAGTTAAGCGAAAGTCTAAAGGAAATAATCAATAAATAAAATCGTCAGTAATTTAATTTAATTGACTAGTATTTGAATCTTAACATGGAGAGTTAAATAAGATTTAATGGATGAATTTCGAAATTGAATAAGGAGTACAATTACAAATTTTTAGTGAAATAATTCGTAATTAATTATGGTGGATATTAATTTCGAAAATTATAAATTAATTCCATAATTGGAAGCCTTGTTAATTAAATTCTGTGGTCCCTGCTGTGCCTAAATAATATGAAATAAAGGAATCCTTTTTATGGTGGAAAAGAAAACCTAACAGGTTTTGGAAAAGGGTTTTAACCCTTAAAACTTGTGCTATAAATACATAAGGTTTTCCACCTAGAGGGAGTAGTCATGGTGGCGAATTTCAGCCCCTATTTTCCTAGAAAATTTTGCCCACACGAAATTACTATTTTCGGGTATTATTTGGGTAACACGGTAGAAGACCGTGAATTGTGATCGTGCTGATGATGGTGAATTCATTGAGTTGTTGTGAGGCTCACGTAATAGAGGAGCTTTGTTCACGCTTCAAGAGTTAACCCATGAAATCCCGTTTATACTAGTTGTCTAGATTACTTGTGATTTTGATACTGAGATTGCTCCCGCTGCACATAATAATCCATCACTCATAGAAGTTATTACAATTTCTATCGTCTTATAGAGATTTGGTGCAAGTATTTTCAAGGATCAGTGACAAATTTGAGGGTGTAAAAGATGGATTGTTGGGACTTTAATAAGACCGCGATGAGTGAAGGGGTAGAAGACATTAAAATCCTATGAGATTATTAAATTTCTTTGAATATGTTAACGACATATGAACAAAAGGTCTTGATCTTGGAATTAAGCATAATTGAGGATCAAAAAAGAAATTTTCCTTTCACTATAAAATGAAGAAATTTCGAAAAGATGTTTCACTTATATATTTGCAATAAGTTATACAACAAAAAAGGATATCAAACAATCACCTGCTCCTCATGGTCGCTTATACAAATCCTCAACATCTATTTCACTCTAATAAGGCTCGTTTCATTTTAGTGTTGATAAATAATAAGTGGGCGTTTGGACATAAGAATTATGAAATTCCAAATAAATAATAAGTGGGCGTTTGGACATAAGAAATGTGAAATTCCAAAAGAGTGAATTTTTTTTTCAAGTTGAAAATGGTATTTGAAAATTTGAGTTGTGTTTGTACATGAAAATACTTTGGAGCTGTTTTTTGAATTTTTGTGAGTGCTTTGAAGTGAAAATTTAAAAAATAGCTTTTTGGAGTTTTCAAAATTCCGAAAAATTCGAAATTTTCATGGTCAGAACACTGACTTCGAAATTCGGAAAAGAAAGGAATCTTTTTTTATGGCCAAACGGTAAATCTTTTAAAGCTCAAAATCTCACATTCATCCTACACTGACGTAATTTTCTCACCAGACTAAGGGGGAAGAACAACTATCCAGCCTCAATCCCAAGCTAGTTGGATCGGCTATATGAAATCAACATCACAAATGCTCTGTTTATGTCCATCAGACTAAGGGGGAAAAGAAATAATTTGGAAAATTTTGTATTAACGCGGATCATCAAGTTCTACCAGCAACAAAGGCCAATAGAAGCTGGATAATTTATATAAGATGCTCGACAAAAAGTTCTGTTAGCTGCTTTGCTCCACTAAACCAAAAATTTCTACACCACGCCAGTCCTTCAAAGGTGAGCAGGCTGATTGCCTGAACATTTAGAAAATAGACTCAGGCTGACTTGGTGGTAGTTTAGAAGATAAACTCTTTGCATGAGGTTTTGATGATGTTTCAGGTGGTGCCAACATCAATAAGACTGTAACCAGCAGCTTTCTTTAACCCTTTTAGATGAACAATGTCCCTCAACTCTCCAGCCTCCTTCCAGCTTCCACTAGCAACATATATGTTGGACAGTGCCAGATGATACCCGACATTCTCAGGTTCCAACAAAAGGAGTATGCTCGCTACTTGTTTCCCCAGTTGAAGATCACCATGATAATTGCAAGCGCTGAGCAAAGCACCCCAGATTCCTGGATCAGGTTGACTGGGAAGGTCTTTGATAAAATTATATGCTTGCTGCAGCCTCCCTGATCGGCCTAACATATCAACTACACAGACATGATGCTCTGTGGAAGGTTGAATTCCGAACTCATCAAGCATACGAGTGTAATACCAGTACCCCTGGTCAACAAGCCCTGTGTGACTGCAAGCCGTTAATAAGTTGATAAATGTGACTTTTGATGGAGTAAGTCCCGAATCAATCATCTCATGAAAGATTTCAATTGCTTTCTGACCATTGCTGTGAAAGCCATATGCAGAAATCATGGAATTCCAAGCAGCAACAGATCTCTCTGCTGAATTCTGAAACACTCGACGAGCAATGTCTAGCCTGCCACAGCTGCTATACATATCCACAAGTGCAGCTGATACAAACGCATTTTTGTAAAAACCACATCTGATGAGGTGTGCATGGATCTGTTTCCCATGTCTAATAAGTCCAAGTTGTCGAAAAGCTGAAAGAACGGTAGCCATGGTGATCTCATCTGGTTCAAACTCGAGTAAACGGAAAACTCCTATTGCTTCTTTAGCATTATTGTTCTGAGCTAAAGCAGATATCATGCAGTTCCATGAGCATAAGTTATGATGAAAACAAAGTTCAAACACTAATCTTGCACTTTCCACGTCACTCAGTTTTCCATACATAGTAATGAGAGCATTCTGCACACGAATATCTTGACCAGCTGAGGTCTTTAAAGCTAGGGCATGAACTGACTTTCCTTCACATGTCAATTCAAGATTTCCACATGCTGGTATGACATTGACTAGAGTAATAGTATCATGGTTGATATTGAACTTGAGCCTCATTAACTTGAAAGCATTTAAAGCTTCACAGAAGTGGCCTTTCTGGGTGCATCCCGAGATCATGGTATTCCAGCTATCCACAGCAGCAATATAAGCTATCTCCTCCAGCAAATTGAAAGAAGCTACTAGATCTCCACAAGAAATATACATGCAAATCAGGGAATTTACTATGATGATATTATTTATAAATCCCAACTTCACCTCCCACGAGTGGATCAACCTTCCAAATTGGATTAAGTTGGGCGAATCACAAGCAGGAAGAATTCCTAGAAGAGTTGACAAGCTGCATTCTGAGTTCCAACTATGGAACTTCTTAAGCAAAGACCGAGCTTCTCTACACAAGCCATTCTGGGAATACCCAGATATTATGGTATTCCATGAAACTAGATCTTTCATTGCCATATTTAAGAAGAGATGCTCAGCGTCCTTGACCCTTTTGCACTTAAAATACATATCCATGAGAGCATTTATCACCGACAGTTCTGTTCCCATCTCTCTCCGGACGGTGAAACCATGAATAGCTTTCCCTTTTTTCAATAGCATGAATTCTGCAGCTAGCGGAATAATGGAAATTAACGTCACAGCATCAGGTTTTAGAGTTCTTGTGAACTGCATTTCATGAAGAGCATCAAACGCTTCACCGACTTTTCCATTCAAAGAGAATCCATTTATCATCGAATTCCATGTTATTATATCCTTCTGCTTCATTATATTAAAGACATATTCAGCGGCATCAATGTTCCCAGACTGGGAATACAATGAAATGAGAGAATTTGCAACTGAAAGGTGGCAGCTTTCCTCATACCCTAGCTTTATTCCCCATCCTTGAATAACCTGACCACATCTAAACTCATCTAAACAAGCAGAAGCCGCAATAGCACAAGAAAGACTCACACTATCAGCGCCTTTTTCCAAATTAGCCATCTGCTTGAAGTACCACAATGACTTCTCAGAATGATCATTATAAATACAACCACTAATTATTGAATTCCATGAAACAATATCTTTACATTCTACTTCTCCAAAAACACATTCCGATGAGCTTAAATCACTACATTTTGCATAAAAATCAATAAGAGCATTTCCCAAAAGCGAATCCAAAAACATTCCCATTTTCATACTTAAACAATGAACAATCATCCCCTTCCTCAAATATCTCATATTAGACAAGGCAGAAATGACAATCACAAGCGTGGCAGAATCAAACTCCTTTCCTTCATTCACCATTTCAGCAAAGAATTTCACTGCAAATTCGAAAAACTTGTTCTTTATGCATGCTGTCATGATAGCATTCCATGTTACCACATCTTTACTTATAATTTCAGCAAAGAGAGTCAATGAAGAGTTAAAATGCTTGGTTCTTGAATAGATGATGAGGAGAGTAGTTACAGTGGGCAAATGAGCTAGCATGCCCGCTTTGAGCGCTAAGCCATGTATTTGTGAAGTACTTAAGATATCAGGCTTTTCTTTAACCAACTTAGCAAGTTGAAATATTTCATGGCCTTTGGCATTCTTGAAATCTTGAACTCTTCTTTGCGGAATTTTATCAAACAGTTGGGTGGCAAGGTAAGTGTAACCACAAGCCAGGGGATTTCTAGAGGTAATAAAAGTGCATTTGATGCGCAAAAGGGTATGCCTAAATATGGGTTTTTGGTAAAGATTACGAAAAAGGAAGTGCAAAGGTGGTACATGTTGAGGGAATTTGTTTGGCAATGATGTCCAGAAGAGAAAAGCTTTATATCCATCGCAGGACAGCTTTTTCATGAGTCATGACATGCCCATCTCAGATATGTGCTAACTGGATTTGGTGTTTTGGCTCTTCTTCTTCTGCTATTTACCAAGTATTTCCACAACATAAAATTGAGAAGTAAAATGTGACTGGGATAACGTAACAAATCTAATATAAAGGGAAGAGTTCCATAAAATTCTAAATTAAATTTTCCTATTTTAACTTTTTGAATGGTTGGAAAAAAGGGAATTATGTCTATTTGCTAAGAAAATGTTGGGTCATCGAATTATTATTATTATCATTATTATATAAATATTATTATTATTATTATTATTATTATTATCTATATCTATCTATATTATTATAAAAGCACGAATAATTTATGCTAAATGTTGAACGACTAAAATATCCTTCTAACTTTGATAGACTTTTATGCCCTTAAATATTTGAGTTAAAGGTGGATATAATTGTATAAAATATTACCCTATATGGAATTCTTTCCCAATTTAAACTCTAGATATACCGCGTGTAAATTCCTACTCTACCAATATCCGTAACTTCTATTCCAACTAAAAAGTGGTAACGTTGGAAATAAGTATATGAACTTGAACAAACTTCTAATACCAATCTAAGTTCCAACTTTTCATCTGTATGCGTTTATTTAATGTGGAAGTTTAATTATTTTTATAATGTATAGAGATAGACTTAATTATTTTTCTACTATTTAGCAATAGTCATTTAATTACTTTCCTAATATACAGAACTTTAAAATTAACTAAAACTTTGGTTATTAAATATTTTCCTATTTGAAAATCCTATGAAATCCTAATATTTAGGATTAAAATCAATTAAATATACGTAGAAACTTATTTGACGTCAGCTAGAAAAAGAATAAGACAACTAAATCCCAATTCAATTCAGTTCCAAATTACAATAGTGATACTTCTTCCTATCAAATTCGAAAGACGAATTTCATGTGATTATTGGATTCTTAATTACGCAATAGTTATAAAGCAAATGGAGGTTAACACTATAAGTATATTACTCAAAAAAGAACTATGTATAAGAGTATATTATAATAATTTAAGAATATAATATAATGAATTTGAAGTCAAGTATGAACTTTTCCATTTTTTTGTTTCTAGAATATTTGACCTTACCAGTAGAGATTTTAAATTGGACAAAATTATAATTTAATTATTTTTTTAATATTCGGAACTTTTAAATCAACTAAAATTTTGCTAATAAATATTTACTTATTTGAACTATGTAGGAAGTTCAAATATATAGGACTTTAAAATTCATTAAGATTTGAGCTTATATAAATTATTTTTATATTTAATTATGTAACATAACTATAATACTTTCCATATTATATTATGTAATATTTAGTACTTTAAAATTAACTATTCACTACTAAAAAATTAGGTTTTAGCGACGACAAATTCTGTAGCTAAACAGAAAAATCCATCGCTATCTCATTTTGCGACGGATTAGCAACGGATTATCAAGAAATTCTGCTAGCTACGAGCGTTTTAGCTTCCGGTTTTTTTTGTGTAGTGATTATATAAGAGAAGATATATACATTATGAAATTTAGAGACAGTTATTAAATTGTATAAGGGGTTAAAAAGAAATATATCTATTGTCACAACCCCAATCCCGGTCGTGATGGCGCCCAATACTAATGCCAGGCAAGCCCGACCAATTTAAATACTCTCAACCCAAATACGCAATCCGTTAACAATAATACGATTAAAATAGCAAATATCAAGGTTCCAATCCGAAACTAAATAAAATAGTACAGAAAATAATAACGAATATCCAAACATTCCCCAATAGATCTGGAGTCACGAGTCTAGAGCCTCTAGATGTAACAGCGTACTATATCCATAGTAATAAAGAAGTCTAGGATATGGAAAGATAAATGAAATAAAGGGGAGGAGTCGGGTCCTGCGGACGTCAGACACCTACCTCACAACTCCTGAAAATAAACCTCACGAAAACAGCAAACAGCTCCACTAAGTCTCTGGAGCACCTGAATCTGCACACATGGTGCAGGGAGTAAAGTGAGTACTTCCAACTCAGTGAGTAATAAAAATATATAATGGCTGAAAGTAAGAAATCCCGAAATATTACAATATAAAGCTATAATCAACGATTCAGCACGTTAAAGGATGAAACAACAGCAGACAATGACAATTAAGACCAACAGATATAAAATGCATGAATGCAATGCAATGCACATGACCGCTGCAGCGCGCAGCCCGATCCATTTGGGTACCCGCGCTCACTGTGGGGGTTCAGACTTCGGAGGGGCTCCTACAGCCCAAGCGCATAGCATTCGCTGCGGCGTGCAGCCCGTTCCATACTCAGTCCAAATATATATATGCATGCAAGCCACTCGGGCACAGTCAAATTGTTCATTTTTAGTTTTAATTATTAGGAATTATAGAGCTATGTGTTTAAGCCTTTATATATTTACTAAACATTTCAAAGCAGTGTCTAACTCAGGACTGATATCATGAAATATGCTAAGCATCATGAAAACAGTGATAAGGATCCCTGAAGGATGCACATGATAGGCACAAAGCCCCAAACAATTCATAAAATCCAAGTAGGATGATTACCAAACAATTTCTAGTCAAGAACGCAGTACGAACATAATTCGAAACGATCCCCAGTCACAATCGACCCCGCACTCGTCATAGAGTATGTGTCTCGCCTCAATATAGCGTCACAATGTGATATACCGGGGTTTCAAACCCTCAGGTCATCATCTACATCTATTACTCACCTCAAGCCGGCCACAAGTCTAGCTCGCTATGCCTTTGCCTTTCAAATCAACCTCTTTGCACGCCGAATCTGATTAAAACCAAAACGAATATGTTACAATAGGCTAAAGAAACATAACCCAATCAAAAAGACTCGAAAAACACTAAAATTCACGAAGTTGGCAAAATCCGAGCCCCGGGCTCACTTCTCGAAAAATTACAAAATTTACATCACCGGATTCCTCGTCTCGCCACGAGTCCGTACATATAAAATTTACCAAAATCAGAGCTCGTTTGACCCTCCAAATTCCATTTTTACATCACAGCTTTCCAAGCCCTAGCTTGACCCGTTTTTGATGAAATTCTACTGATTTCTATGATAAATTTACCATAAACTCGAGTAATTAGGCCAAGAGACTTACCTCCAACTGATTCTCAGTCAAAAACCTCGAAAATCCTCGCCCAAAGCTCTCCAAGTCGCTTAAAATGGTAGAAACTACCTCTTGCTCGCGGAGAAAATATAATATTAAAACCCCTCTGCCAACAGTCCTTTTCGCTTCTGCGGTCCCGCTACCGCTTATGCGGCCAAATTTCTGCTTATGCGGTCTTCACTTAAGAACCCGGACTTCGCTTATGCGACTCAAACTCCGCTTCTTCCGGGTTGAAGAAGTTCGTTGCTGCAAAGTTTTTGGACTACAAAATGGTAGATAGCAAGTCTGTTATTACCCAAGTCCAGAAATTGCAAGTGATTATTCACGATCTCCTTGCTGAAGGTATAAATCAAATTAATACTGATGTTGAAAGTAGTAATCTTAGTATTTTTACTAACAGAAATTTCATTGAAGGTCTTGTCATCAATGAAGCATTCCAAGTAGCAGCGATGATTGAGAAGTTGCCTCCTTTGTGGAAGGACTTCAAAAACTACTTGAAACACAAATGCAAGGAGATGTCTCTTGAAGATGTCATTGTTCGATTAAGAATCGAAGAGGACAACAAAGCTGCTGAAAAGAGAGGCCGTGGAAACTCAACAATAATGGGAGCAAATATTGTTGAAGAGAACAAAAAGAGGAAGAAGGCTTCTGGACCGAAATACAACCCAAGCAAGAAGCGGTTCAGTGGAAATTGCTACAACTATGGAAAAGCCGGACACAAATCTATGGAGTGTCGTGCTCCGAAGAAAGACAAGAAGAAGGGTCAAGCAAACATGGTTGAAAAGCATGATGATGTTGATGACTTATGTGTCATGCTTTCCGAATGCAACTTGGTNGACTCAAGCCTAAGTTTCTTATAAACTTCCGAAATACGCATTCGATCAAAAACCCGACCAAACGATGTTCGAATAACCTGAAATTTTACACGCATATCCAAAATCACCTAACAGAGCTACTTCAACTCTCGGAATTCCATTCCGACCCTCGGATCAAAATCTCACCTATCCACCGGAATTCGCCAAAATACCAACTTTGCCAATTCAAGCCTAATTTTACTCCGGACCTCCAAACTAACTTCCGATCACACTCCTAAGTCACAAATCATCCCCCGAAGCTAGCCGAATCACCGGAATTCGCATCCGAGCCCTCTAACTCAATAGTCAACATCCGATTGACTTTTCCAACATAAGCCTTCCTTAAAGAGACTAAGTGTCTCATTTCCTATCCAAACCAATCCAATTCAACTCTAACTCACCCGATGGCAATAATGAAACATGAAGAAGCAATAATTAGGGAAAACAGGGCTGTAATACATGAGACGACGGGTCGGGTCGTCACATCCATAATCTAGGTAAATTAAAGAAAAGGTTAAAAAATATTTCCAAAATTTCAGACGTATGTAAATAAAAAAGTAAGCCAACTAATAATAGAATTCTAATGTAAATAACTCTAGGATTCTATGATTTCTTTTGGGAATTTTAGGAACGTATAATTATTATTCAGTCAATTGCTTTTTAAAAGTTTCATATCTGCTTGACAATTGACACATTTTGTTAGGGAATGTGTTTTGGTGTTGATTCGAAAAACTAATTTTCATTCCTAGGATTTTGGTTCTTTTGTACCTTCTACGTGGTAAGTACTCCAAAAATCTTACTTCGATGTACCTCCACACCAATGTGCATTGGTGTAAGACACTAATTTCTACCCCAACTTAGTATTATGGAGAAAAATTTCGTTCACATGGTAATATATTTTTCACACATCATTTGCATGAAAGATGATGCTTTCGTTTTGTATCTCAAAATATTAATTTCAAATTTTTTCATAAATAATTGACTAATAATTTCGTGCAATGCACGAACGTAGAAACTAGTATATTACCAAAAGCATGAATCTTAATGTCGGATTACCAAAATAGCCTTAAAATATTAAATGTAATAACTCTCAAGCAAAGGCCATAATCAGAATTCCAATGTCGGCCCTCTATCCTATTAGCCATAGGAT